CCTCTGTCATCATTTTAAGTGGGGGAACTTGCACAATCGGTGGCTGACTAAATACTTTTTTGCCCCACTGTATGTCCTCGGTATGCTGAATTAATTGACAAAGAATTGAAATGAATTTTCAAAGACTTATTTGACCAATAAAAAGGCATGACCTTGCATTACTTTATACAACAAAACCTTAATGAATGCAGCTAGCACAGGATTACTTGCACAGTGTTTTTGGAAAGAAGAGTGGAGACGGATGACGCATAAGACAACTGGTGAAGTCACCCCATGTGTGTTTATACACCACTACTGTATTTAATCATTAGCAATTATTAAACTCTGTCTCTTGATTTGCCTTTTCTCCTGTCTCTCTCTCTGTTCTTATTACTTTCCCCTCACTGCCAAGTGGCCACAGGAGATGGCTCTCCATCCCTGCACCTGGTTCTGCTGAAAGTTTCTTCCTGTTAAAAGCGAGGTTTTCCTTCCCACTCTCACCAAGTGTTTGCTTTTACAGGGTTGTGTTGTTGGTCAATGTTGGGGTTTCTCTTTAATATTATAGGGTCTTTACTTTACAATTTTCCAATACAAAGTGCCGTAATGCAACTGTTGTTGTGAATTGGTGCTATATAAATCAAATTGAATTCCACTGAATTGAGATGTTTAGATGTCTCGTTGTGTCCCTGGACTCTGTAATGCTTTTCTTTGCATACTCCTTTTTAACTTAACCTCTTTCTGGGCCTCAGTTTGCAACTTTTCTCACTTTCACACATAAACACACACACACACAGACCAGTACACCAAGAGGCATGGTACATATTATGGGATAAATGCTAGTGGTTAACCAGACACTAACTCCAGCAGAGAAGTTATTTTGGCTTTGTGTCATGGTAATGGCATTGTCTCTGGAGTGTGGTTGACTGAGATCAAAATGTTATCCTAAATAGAAGGTCCGCAACAGGAAGGGAAGGCTGCTGTTGTATCTCTATTTGTGATCAGGTCGTGCATAAGAATCTTTCTACTTATTTGAGAGAAACCCAACTTCAGTGTGGTGTACAACGAAGTGTACAAAGATTGGATGAATGAAAAAGAGAGTAAGTGTTTAGTGGCCACTGTTGCTTATATTATTATTCACGGTCAATGAATGCTCTTCGTACTTGTTTCTTAAAAAGACATGTATACTTTAGTGACTTCAAAAAGCAAGAAAAATAAAAATAAATTAGAAAAAAAACAATTTAAGGACAAGCACATTTACAAACCCAGTTCCAAAAAAAGTTGGGATGCTGTATGAAATATAAATGCAATGATTTGCAAATCTCTTAAAACCATATTTTATTTACAATAGAAGACAGAAAACATAGCAAATGTTTAAACTGGGAAGTTTTACCACTTTATTAGAAAATGTTAGCTAAATTTGTTGCCAGCAACACATTTCAAAAAACTTAAGACAGGGTGTTGTTTACCACTATGTAGCACCCCCGCTCCTTTTAACAACACTCTGTAAACATCTGGGGACTGAGAAGACCAGCTGCTGGACTCAGAGAGGAATGTTGTCCTGTTGTTATCTGATATTGGATTCTAGTTGCTCAAAAGTCTTGGGTCATTTTTTGGGGTGGGGGCTTCTCCCATGATTCAATTCCAACCAGAGACAGAAATCGTCTTTAGTACTACTTACTTTTTCAGTTTTTGTTCCCCTGTCCCAATTTATTTTTTTCAGACATTACAAGAGAGCCAGGTGATGTCACATTCAAACTGAGCAAATATTTTTCATGAAATTGTAAAATGTCTCTGTTTAATTAGCAGTCGGACGTACCGCCCACGGTACATTGGATGGTTTAGGGGACTAATTGGACTGCTAAGGGGTTAAATGCTAAATATGTCCTATTATGAATAAAATATGGGTTTATGAGATTAGCAAATCACTGTTTTTGTTTGCATCTGTGTAAGCGAGGTAACTTTAGCCATTTCTACTAGTTGGAATAGTTTAAATCCTCTTAACTTTCACTGGAATTTATTTTTAAAGGGCATTAAAGTTTCCTTTCAGGCACAGTATTGAACCCAGATACACTGTGACTCACCTCCATATGTGTCAGTTTACAGTGTAATAGTAGATTCAGGTAAAGCAAACAATGACTGGCCTAACATCTTCTCTTGTTTTTCTGTCTCTCAAGAGAAAGGAAAACAAATTGACAGTTTCCAGCACTTCGAAAACCTTTTTGATCATGCCCTTAAAGTCCAGATTTGAAAATTGTTATGTGCACATTTGCAATTTGCAAACTTGTGCTTAAAGCAAAGAAATTCTTTAGTAAAACTGACCCAGCCTTCATCTTGATGATTACAACTGGTGACTATAGTTGGCGCCGTGACCCAGTGATCAAACAGCAGTGTTCACTGGAATAGCCTATAAGCTTTTAATGAAAACAAGACATATCACACCAGGAACACTATCAGTAACATGCTATTATTGGTCCACACCGTCAGGGCTGCAGACATTAACATCCTGGTATGTCCAAAACTGAACATTTTGGCTGAAAGAACCTGCACTGTAGCACGTGTTATGGTCTACCATGTAACAGCAAAAAGAAGTTTTCTTGACCACACAAACACAATTGTGGCTCACCACTTGCCTTGCTCAGCAGATCTGACTCCCTGTAACATCACTCTGTTCTACAAAATGAAGGCTCATTGCCTTTCAGAAATAATTACAACGTAATGGGAGTGCTAGAACTACTACAGGAAGGAGTCAACCTTTAGTGTAATGGTAAAATTGAATTCATAGAACTGATTTGCAATTGTTTAACTTTTCACATTGATCACCATCATCTTAAAGCTACCTGGAACTTGGCAGAACTACCACAACTGTTTTTTGACTAAAAAGGCTTTCCAAGGCACTCAGGAAGGTTCGAAACTAGAAGATAAGGAATTAGATCCAGATGCCTGAAGAATGACTAATGCACTCTATGGTAAATTGTTGTTTGCCATTAAGGACAATTACGAGCAAAAACAGCAATTAAAATACCAAATGGCTGGACACTGGCGAAAGTTCCTTCGAAATAGGTAAAATCTTCAAAGCCAGTGTTTTGCAACTGGTGACTGCGTTGCATTACGTGTTGTTCTAACATGGTCACATTTAAACTGTATGAACAAAGACAGACCTACTGCCTGGTCTTCATCTTCACAACCAGTCTTTACATGCTTCATCTGAGGCATGAGCCTCCAGTGCAGTCAGCAATGCCACACACGTTCAATTGCACAGCTGTTTAGGAGAACAGCCTGGAGAGGATTTTAACTCAGTTATTGGAAGCCAAGATATGTTATCTTTCTTTTTTGTTCAACCCCTATTTGCAATCATATATTTTAACTGTTACTGCACTTATGCTTAAAGCCAGAAGAACACAGAATAATCAGTTTCATTTAAAGTTAAAATACAAATTGAGAAAATTTTGATGTGTTGAAAAGTTGAAAAATAAATCAATTTACATGAACACTGGTGATTTGAATATATATGATTTTCAGCTCATTGTATAAATAAGACTATGTGAGGGAGAGATGGACAGAGCAGAGACAGACAGCGACAAGATCGTTGTGTTTTGTTAACCTGCAATAGGCGCTTGCATTTCAGTGGCCTTATAATGAGGTGATGTCATCATATATAACCCTTAGGGAACAGTTTGTTCTTCACAGTAGAAGTGTTTTTTGAATGAACAATGTGTCCTTCACAGTAGAAATCCTTCCTCTATGGTTATATGGACATGTTCCACTGGTGTCTCGTTTCCCTCAGAAAGTAAAACAGCTGCAATGTTGTTGGTTGGAACAAACTCGTTTTTTTTTGTTTTGTTTTTTAATACTCAAACAGAGGTTGTGCAATACAAATATCAAATGCATTAACTGTCAGTTAAGTGATGGTTAATCTCCTATCCCTGTTTGAGCAAGGCACCTTAACACAGCTGTTCAGGAAAAACTAGTTCATTGGCTTTGTAAACATGCATCATCAGCAGTAGGAACAAGCTCTACGAACAGCACACACTTCCAGCATTATACACCTCAGAAGAGACAGCACAGTTTGTGTAGAGGTGTAAAGTCTTTCAGGACAAAGCAAAGTGTAAAGTATATTTATCACTATAGCATTTAACAATAAAGTGATGTCACCAGTGCAGCTTACCTACTAGCTGAATGTTTTTTGTGAGAAAATGACAGAATAATTACCTCAAAAAATAAAATATGGCTTAAAAAAAGAGAGAACATACATCAACAACATGTCTTATCTTTCACCATCCATATTAGGGAAAGGGGATTAAGTAGGATTGAGGCTAATGCATTTGTGTGTGTCCGAAGCTTTGTGTGTGTGTGCTTGTATCACTTATGTTGTGAGGACACATGTCTGTATGCACACACTGTAAGGACCGACCTCCGTTTAGGGGGGAAAAGCCCCCATAAAGTAAATCATTCTATTCAGGTAGTCAGCCCCTTTCCTGCCTCTAAAGAAACACATCAAGGCAGCAAGCAGCCTTAAGTAAAGCTTCGTATGCTTCTTCTATAAGCATTACTTCAGTGAGAGCAGAAAACCTGTACACGCAATTTGGGAGACATCTAATTAAAAGTCCCGATATTACCAATTAGCCGGCAAAAAAAGCTATTTCGCTTTTTTTTTTTTTAAGTGTTGCAGAGTCTTCTGCACTGTGTGAATTTAACAGTGTGAATAAGGAAGCAACAGTCATAAGAATCATAGATTCAAAGACCTCTTTTTTATGATTGATTGCATGATACAATATTTATAATCTTAATATATTTAAAATATATGTTAACCTCTGGTGTGACAAATTAAGTTAAGCAATTTTGTTAAATGATGGTAACTTTAACTGGTATTGGTAGGAGAAGACAGGTTTGGCCTTACCTTAGTCACAGCGGGATATCCAGCAGCAACTTCACCAGAACAATAGGGCTTTTCTTCATGGGAAACTTCAATAGAGGAAGCCCACTGGTCCAGGAAACCACTGGGGGTATAGAGGCCACAGTCTCTCACACCTGTCTCTCGCTCAAAATCCTCGCATACCCCATCACCGTCATAGTAGTAGCACATGCTTGGCTCCTCTGCATTTGAAAACACAACACACTTCAAATAAGTTATCTGTACGATAAAAATAACTTCTTAAACAGAAGGACTGAGTGCATCAAAGATATCAGCGTGGTTCATCTTAAACATATCTCTCACCGCCACCCATCTCTCTTGTTGAGCATGTCCTCATTTGGAATGAGTAGAGAAAGGAGATCAGATAAAGGCAAGAGATGAATGTAAGGGATAAAAGGAGTAAGAATCAAATTATAAGGCGTATATAGATGTATAAGGGCAGAAGGGGCAAAAAATATTAAGGAAGAATAAAAGAGAAAGAGAGCAAAACAGACAAGCACAGAAAGCGGAGGGGGTGGTGTGGGGCAAGGTCAATGGGTAAAGTAAGATACAGCAGTATTTTTTCCAGACATCCCACCCGGAGTTTGGGGCTGAAACTGAAAGCTTATGGAGTGGAGGAGAGGGGAACTGAGCAGGGAGGTTTGCCTGGGCCTCACTGGTCTCAACTCTCAGCTAAAGCAGAGTCAGCCGGTGGGGTTCCAGTTGGGGGGAAAGGCGGCACTCTGTGCCAAGTTGGCCAGGGCCTTCTCCTCGAAATTCCACCCATCTACAGCACAGCCAAAAGCTCAAGTCAGTTCTGTGCTCTGGCAATGGTAAAACGAGGGGCTACTGAGGGGGCATATAGAATAAGTCTCCTGCCACTCACTCAGCAGCAACAGAGGTGAGGAAGAAGGGGAGCAGTAAGACTGAGACAAGAGGAAGTTCAAACAGTGATTGTGAATGGTAGAGGAATAATAGGTAGAATGTGAGCTAAAGAGACAAGGAATAGAATGAAAAAAAGGTCAGAAGGGGTGTGCTTTAGTATTAGAGTTTGATAGAAATTAAACTTAGTTAGATTAAATTTTAAAAAAAAGATTGTGACTGGGTGCCTTTGAGATTTTTTTAAAATTATTATTCTGATTGTGGGCACAAACAGACAAAGCAAAGAGTGAAATCTGACTTAAAATCCAACTGGATTGTAACAGCAGGTGGGTTTGTATGCAAAGAACTTGTGATTGTCATCAGTTCCAGATTTAAACCGGCTGAATCATGATAGCCTATTAAAGCTCCTCCAGATTGTAACATCCTAGACCTGTTGTATACTTACTGTTAATTGTCCATCCAACTCACTGACAAGCAGGCACTTGCTTACACATACAGACAGATGGACAGAAGGTCCCTTCATTATAGTCTCAGATTTCTGTGTAAAACCTCAGCAGTGTTGAACACACACAAACATACACACACTTGCAAGCATCCCAGAGCACTGCAGTTGGTGGAAAAACAGCACAGCCAGTTCAGTCATCCAGCAATCTGACAGGGATTAAGTGGCCACTTCACAGAGGGTTACACATGTGTATCCATGTACTGTACATACACAGAATCACAAGAGTGGAAGAAATATGATTATCAGCTACTGGGACCCAGAACAAAAAGTCATTCATCTATTTATAAAATTTAAAAAAACAAATTATAAAAGGAGATGTCTCTCTTTCAACTATGTTTAAAAAAAAGACCCAACATTTCTCTATTTAAAAGTTATGATTTCTAGTTTTTTTTTTTCTTTATTCAAGAGGTTGGAGTGATTATGATATCTCCTGGTGTTTTATTTGTTTGGAATAGGCATCGAGTACTTGAAGTACACCCAGACGATGTGTCAAATCCTTTCATTCACAAAGTGAGTCTCGTTTAAATGTCTGCAGTCTCTTTTTATTGTGAAATAATGAGGCATGGGAATCCAAACAGATAATAATAATGTGAATTTTTTTTTTAAAGCGTTAATACTTTACTAGAAATCCTACCTTTATAAAATTGTGTGTGTTTATGTCCTGTTTGGCAATTAAAACAAGTTTATTTGTGATTACTAATGAAACAGTTTATTGTTTTTAACTTTTCTTGCACAAGGAATTATTTCAAGACTATTAAATGGTTATGCATACGCTGCTATATCATCCTGTCATACTGAACTCAGAGCTATGGACAGAGCATCAGATAGCAGCAGAGCATTTTCAAGACTTACCAACACAATTGAAGAATGGCTCTTTCTTGCACTGACTAGAACAGCCATCCCCATTCATAGAGTTCATATCGTCACATTCCTCTCCTTTGGAACTAAAAGAGCAGGAGACAAGTGCTTAGAATACATATATACACACACACACACACACACACACACACACACACACACACACACACATATATATATATATACATACATACATACATACATACATAGTGCCTGTTACCTTTGGATGCGACCATCACCACAATAGGGTGCCCCGAGTTGATGCACCAAAGGTGGAGATGGCTCACTCTCACTTTGCCTGGAGATTGTTTGGACCTGGTAAGTATACGTAGCATGTGGTATCACATCCCTGCACAAAGAGTGAGAAAAAACACAGTAAGTTCATATGTCTGGACAATACAAAGAAATACCACATGCAAAGAAAGTAAAAGTAAAAGACTGCATACGAAAAACCTTCATAAGACCAGGTCAGTGGAGATCAAGTTGTTAGAATTGTTGCTAAGTCAACTGGTGAGTTTGTGTGTCTCTTTATTCAACTAGTAAACTTCTAAGTTTGTACTTTCACATATCTGTCTTTCCGATCGACTGATACGTCTGCTTTTACCCACTGCATGTCCAGCTTTGTTGTGTTTCCTTATCACAGCAATTCAAGGAACCATTGTGACGAAATACGGGAGAAATAATGGAGGCTTACTCACTTTGATTGTCTAAGTCACCATAATGGTTTTTTGAGGCACCATGATAAGGATTTCTGAAATCAAAAAGTCTGAAAGGAAAATATATAAATAAGAAAATCAAAGCCATAAACAAAAAAATAATCAAAGCTATGAATGAGAAACCAAAACCACTAGACAAGCAATTAATCCCAGGGGAAGAAAACAAGTAAATAATAAAAATGTAAGTGAGGGTGCTTTTTGGAAGTCAGTATTGCAAAATGTTTATTTATTCTCTCTGGTTTGTTTGCCTTTACGTTGTACCTCTATCATAATCAGATTGCCTCTTCTAACTACTGGTCCCTGTAATCAGTGGAATTACTTTCTTTAAAAACTGAGGCAACTGTGTTATTTTATGACTCATTACAATTTAACAAAGAACAAGAGTAAAAATAAGTAAAGGCAACGAAAGAAAGTTCTGGAAACATGCAATAAAAACAAAATAATTGAATCACAAAAGCACCTTCATTTACATCTGTATTGTTTAAGGTTTTTTTTCCCTTTTTTGATACTTTTTTTGGTATTATTTTGGTTTCTCATTTCTAGTTTTGATTTGCATTTGTTATGGTACGGCTTCTCATTCATCATTCTTAGGCTTTCATGGTTTTGGGGGGTGGATTGTGATCATGGCATAAGATTTGGGAACTTAAATATAAGTCTTTGTCAAATTTTGTCTATATTCATATATTCAGAGTATTAGAATATTTTGATTTTGAGTCCGTTATTGTTTAAACAGTATAAATACCATGTTTCTTTCAATAAAATATGTACATGCAACCACAGTCATGAGGAAGACTGCTGACAGTTGTCCAGATGATAATCATCCATACCCTCCATGAGGTGGGTAAACCACATCTGAAAAGACTGGCTGTTGATAGAGTTTACTCACAGAGTAAATCGGATGTTTCGAAGCATGTTAATGGAAAGTTGACTGGAAGGGAATGTGTGGTAGGAAAAGGTGCAAAAGCAACACGGGTGACTGTAGCCTTGAGAGGATTGTCAAAAAAAGTCAACTGAAGAACTTGTGAGATGTTCACAGGGAGAAGATTCAAGAAAGGAGCTACAACTGTTATACTGTAGCTAACCGAGACAATGTTAGAAACGTCTTACCTGGAGAAAAACTTCTGGACTGTTGCTCAGTTTGTAGAAATATTTAAATACAGAGAATGTGCTAAATGTGCTACACAGTGACGGTGTTCAAAACAACGTGTGTTTAGTCCTTAACAAGACATGCAGATGTGTTAAAAATTAACACATGATGTGTTATTTCTAAAACATCTGTCTTGAGCGTGCGAGCTGGATTGTCCAGCCAACTCCCCTGATCTGAACCCCATAGAGAATGTATGGGATGCTGTCGAGTGGAAGATGAGAAACACCTGACATAAAAATACAGACAAGGTGAAGGTCGCAATCAAAGCAACCTGGGCTTCAATAACTCCTCAGCAGGGCCACAGGCTGATTGCCTCAATCCCACACTGCGCTGAAATTACTCAAAAATATGCAAGTATTTGTGTGAAAGGAGCCACAGATTTATGTATTGAGTATATAAATGAACATACCTTACAAACGCTGGACATTTCTGTATTGTATCTTTTGATTGATCTTAGGAAAGATCGTTATTATTTGAGATACTGGATTTCTGATTTGCAGGCGTTATAAAAAAATCACTTTACATTTAAAGAATACAACTTTTGAATATATCTTTTTAAGACGTTGTAGTACAATCAAACAGCGCAACAGTTAATGTGCAGTAGCGCATGTTGATGTCTTTCAGTTCTTAAAGTAAAGGGAATGCTTGAATGCTGCATGCATGCAGCCTTTTTTTGGTATATCTGTTAAAAACGGCATCTATGAATGGGATTAAGTAGAACCAATAGTTTAGCCATGGATTATTTCACATAGACCATAAATATGCCTATTACAGAAAGCACCTCGCATACAGCCCATAGAATTACATAGCAATGAGAGACGCATACACACAGGCTTTAATTAAAACACGCACAGGCATATCACACTATTCCCAAAGCTGCCATATATTCCAGAGTGTGAATGTAACGCATCAGCAGGATCAAGCACTAAACTTTCCCCGGTACCCCAAAGATTTAAACTAAAGAGTCAGATCATACTAAAGAAGGCTTTGAATGAGGTTCAGGAAAGCCTTTGCCTTTTCTGAGCACTTTTTTTTATTTACTACTGAATGAGAACACGTAAATGTTTTCAATTAGAGGCTTAGGGTAAAACATGTAATCTCTTCTTCACTTTTCCATGTTTGTTCATGGCATTCCCAACAGAAAGACCTAGACCAAGTGCAAGTTCGCCGTGAAGTACGAAATATAAAAAGTGACAAGCCTAAAGATCAAGTAACAAAATGAATTCTCTTACAGCAAAGTTCGTGCCTGAGATTAGTTATTTATGTTGGCTTTATTATTATCAACACAGAACGTTTGGCCTGACAGACTCTCATCTGCACAACAGTGTGCCCTGTTCCGCAATGTTGGTTCATACTGGTGCAACTCTAGGTTACACTCAAACATGTCCCTTCTAATTGAATTAGTTTAGCCTCTGGAAAAGTCAAGCTCTGGGAGACTTTATCTTTGAGCAAAGCAAACATGCAGAATAGACGGAAAGAAGAGAGAAACAGATGCCGCTTTGAAAGGAGGCACACAACTTTCCCTTTTGTGGATGGGCAGGTATTTGGGCCGCTCGGTTTCAGGCAATCCAGTGCACTGAAAAGCACTAGCACTTACTGATTGGGCCACAATGGGAGGCCTGCTCATGCAAGAACAAGCAGAAAGGATGATTTTAATGACTGGATCTAATGAGGTAATCTAGTTCTCGTTAGGCTGATGGTCAGTCCTTCTAGCTTTTCACCGTCATCTCACAAATACAACTAAAAACAGTGCTGTAGTTTTCAATACATGGCTGTTTGAACAAACATGCTGTTTGATTTAGGGACTAAAATCAAGATAAAAACAGTGTTGCGTGCTTCTTTCTCTGACAGACAATTTTCACACATGAACTCAGGTAAATTTCTCAGGATAGGTCACACAACTGTCTTACATGTAGGGAGTGAGGTAAGATAAATAAATTCCCCAGATTGTTACCACCAACATTCTTACCTGGGTGCAATTAGACTGTGTACTATCAGGTTAAAAACCATCTCACGATTCGATTATATCAGGCATTTGGGTTCTCGCATGCACGATGATGTGATTGCTGGGAAAAGCGTGTAAAAAATGGCTCACGACTCCGGGGAATCATGTTCTTCTTTCAGTAGCAAAGTTGGAGCGGCGGTTTACAGCCACGCTGGGATTAAAAGGCTTAGAAAGGAAGCTGAGGTGAGTGACTAAGCCAAAGACTGTGGTTATGTCCGGCGCCTAGGTCTATACAGGCAAAGAACTGCAAACTCGTTAACCATGTCAATACTGTAGCAGTCAATTGCAAACATTTTATTTAAGCGTGCCCCATGACTTTCTTATTTAAAAAGCAATAAACAGATTATCAGCTCATGTCGACTGAGCCATATATCATCCTCAGTTATTTTCTGAGAAAACACCACGAGATCAGATCCCCCCCGTGTCATACATCACAGTCAGCTTGGGGCACAAAGGCAGTTTCCTCAGGATCTGCAAAACTCCATTGTGGGGTCCTTTGTCCTTTCGTACATTATTTTTTTCTCCTCTTGTCACTGATATAATGATACAACACAGCTTCTGGGAAGCGGGTGAAATAGCTGCGATATTTAATCTACTGATTTGTGTTCACGGTTATTAATTTTCCCATTTTCTTGTTTAATTAATTAATGTGAAGTTTAATCAATGAATTTGCGTTCACTGACAAAGTAGCCAGACTTTCTTCTCATCGTGTTTTTTGTGGGAATTTTTGTTTGTTTTGGGTTTTTTTTTACTGATCTTGAGCATGGGTTTCGGAAACTCTTTCAAAAATTTTGTTTGAACACTGAATGCTTTCTTACTGAATTATTTTTAGTCCAATCCATGTGCCTGACCATTTTCAGAGCCACTTAATGCCGAACTTTGAATGATTCAGGCATAAAAAAGGCACCAGTTTAAATGTGGTCATATGTTAGTAAAGCCACTGGCAGCAGAGAAGAATGAACAAATAGCATAGAGATTTTTAATTTGTTTGTTTGTTTGCTACCTCAAAAGCACATAGTGATGTTGTGGACGAATTTATAACAGCCACACCTATAGGTTTCAAACAATTTAGTATCAGAATTCCTATCCAGTATTCATAAAAACACACTTATCTGTAACTAATTATAGCTATGTAAAATATCTGCTGTATAACTCATAGCTCAAAGGACCTTACTACAGTCACTGTCAACGTGTCACATGATAAGATTTCATCATTAGTGCTTTTTTGTTCTTCTCAAAACCCCAGAATAAAATTTTTTTTCATAGTGGCTCTCTTGTGAAGTCTTGAACAAAGCCCTGTAATATGCATTTCAAAGGTATTCAAAACCACACAGAGCCATGAGTTAACATACGTGAAAGCTACTAACAGCAAGAAGTTTGCCGGTGTGTGCCTGTGCTCGTCTGTGTGTTCCAGCCTTTACTGATATGTGGACACTTATGTGCAGATGCATTTCCATTCTGTAGCTCCTTGTTGTTCTTGGCGGAAAGACTCCAGATGAGAAAAACAGATA